CCGAAGCGCTACGTCAGCTCTTGGGGCTGTTTGGGGTTTTGGGGCAGAACAAGCCTCAGGGGCCGGTTCCTGACCTCCATCACCAGGCACCCCTTGCTCTAGGGAGGAACCAGATGCGGACCTTTGTGTTGAAGGTTCTGCTTTCTCCCGTTTCCCTTTTACTGCTGAAAATCCTTACTGAAGGGCAGGGCAATACTCTCGGGTAAGTATGACCCAATACGCCTGCGGGGGCATAAAGATGCCCTCCTGCATCTCTGGTAGAGACAGAATCTCTCTTGAGCCGCAAAGAGCTGCGAAATGGCTTCCAGACAAAGCTGCCACAAGAAGGGGAAGGGGGGGAAAAAAGTCTAATTAGTATCATTTCCTATCCTCTGGAGTAAAAGAGCTACTTTGCAAATTAAGTTAAGGAAAATTAGGTTGTGAAAGAAGAAATTAAGGATGTGTTTTTATAGTGTGTTCCGCTTCCTACTTGAGGTGGCTGAGAGTGGGAGGGAGTGTCAGGACAGCCAGACATCTTGTTAGGAAGTGAATTAATGATCTGAATGTTTCTCTTGCTCTCTGGTGAAGAAGGCTGCAGATAATGTGGAGAGCGCAGGGCGCTGCAGCTTCTCCCCATGCAGCAGTAATGACTGAATTTGCCACTTCAGCGAGGAATTCACTCAGGAGTTGTTCTGCCCTCTGCTCCCTCCCCAGCAGAGGAAGCTGGGCACTGGTGACAGGACACAGAGGAGGCCCCAGCCCATCTGGAAGAGGCTCCCCATGAAGTACCTTGTCAGGGTGGAAGCCTTCCTCAGCTCTAAATTGGCCAGGCTTGCACCCCAGTCTCTTTCCTTTGAGGCCAGGCTAGATGCCTCCTTATCAGAATAAATGGGATTAATCAAGCCACACGCCTCCCCAACAGGAACTGGTAGCCGTTTTTTTTCTTTCCTCTGCCCTGAAGCAGCTGTTCTACCGTTGACAGACTACAGAGAAGATCCAGGCTGGGAGCACCACTGTGGGCTCACGGTGCCCGAACCCACAAACAGCAGGTTCAGTCAGGGTGCCTATGGCTCACATGAGGACTAGTCGCCTTGACTGGTTTCTAGCCGCTGATTTTTGGGGCAACCCAGAGCCCCTGAACGTCGTGATCACCTTCTGAGAGCATCCAAGAAGTGGCAGAGTTGTTACTTGGTTTTAGAGGTCATGTAGCTCGCCCGGCTGGCAGATGAGGTGCTGCTAACCTAGAGAGCTGGCAATCGGGTCACCTGCAGGGGACACGTACGAAGGCTTGGTCGATGTCCTTCCTGATATCTGCCACTATCTGGGCGTTGTCCCCGCGGGCCAGGACTGCGTCCAGGGAGTGCTGCTGGATGGGCTCGAGCAGGCGAGCAGGGTGCCCCAGCCGCAGGATGCGGGCTTTGTAACCAGCCAGCGGCTTTGTAGCCAGCCAGCCTTTCCACCAGATTGTCCACAGCGACGTTCGAAGGGGCGCAGCACAGGACCTGCAGGAGGATGGAAAAAAAGTGCTTGTTACTGTCAAGGACAGAAAATGCTGGAGCAAGTGTCTGAGCAGCAAGACACCCAGCAGAGAGAGAGACCAGCACACATCTCTGGGGGATAAACCACTGACATCTCCACAGCCTCTGGACACCAAAGGCAATTCTCACCTTGCTCTGAAGCACTAGTGCAGGGTCTTTAATAAATAGCAAACCTGAGCTTTGAGGCTTCTATCTGCACCTAATTTCAGCTGATGGGGGAAACTCCCTGGTCCCTGCAGGCCAGGCCAGGCTCTGCAGTGTAGCACAGCCGCTACTGGATCTGCTCCAGCTGCCCTGAAGCCCAATGAGTTTGCAAAATAAACCAAAGCGACCGCTGTCGCTCCGGTCCTGCCGCTGATACTCACTCTCAGGCCTTGCTGCACGGCTTGCAAGATGATCTCCACTATCGTTGTGGTCTTCCCTGTGCCAGGAGGTCCGTGGACGATGGCAAGTTCCCTCTGTGCCAGTGAGAAGGAGACAGCCTCCCTCTGCGATGCGTCCAGCGAATCGTTGTAAAGTTTTAGAGGCTCTGGGGAGACAGCAGGAGATTTATTTCGACCTCAGCCCTACCTTGGGTGCTTGCTGAGCAATACAAGTCCATGAATACAGATAAGATGCTCTCGGTTGCTTGCCCAAACCAATTCAATAATGAGAATAACCCTCTTGGGGAGGGCAATAGGCTCTGTACCACTCAGGTGATTGAAAGAGCCCAGGATGAGAAAAGTAAGGCTTGTTCTGCTTTCAGAAAGAACAAGCTCCCCACCCTGCAGCTGTGTCTTCCCCCCTCTCTCCCACCCCACTGTATTTCAGAAGGAGTGAGCACTCAGCTGTGAATAGCATCGATGCTTTTCAGCATTTAAAGAGGCATTCACTTGCTATAACATCAAACAGGTAGGAACTCTTGACTGTGGAGGGTGCTCTGGGCTTATTTTAACGGTGAGCCAGCATATTTGGTAAACCTTCAATAAAAATTGGGGAGGAAGCAGTTGACACTGCAAACAAATTGCTGACATTCCAGTTAAACCCAGCACGGCACTAGTGAAAAAGCAGCAGAAAAAATCTAGGGTGTCTGTGAGCAGAAGAGAGCAGTCCTGTATCGTTCAACAGTGACTGAAAAGGAAGGAAAAAGAAGCAAACTGGCAATATAAATGAATAAAACTAAAATTAGTTTGAGCTTTAGTGATGGGAAAGGAAAAAAAGCGAAAAGAATATGCAAATTGCATTACAAGAGAATTGATTTCGCTGCAGCAGAGCGAATTCTCGCAAGCTGCTTTTACCTCTCAGATTTATCTCATTTAAACCCATATTTATTCTCAGCCCCCATAATCCTGCTGCTAATCTCCTTGTTCATTATGGAAGTTAATTAAAACATAGATGATGACTCATTACACTGAGGTTTACTGAAAATAATGTTCCCACAGAAGCTTATATAATACCCATCTCTGGGCATCGTTCCCTGCTGGGCATCATGTGTTTTATTGCTGCCTTTGCAGCGAGGCCTTGATTAACAGTTTGAGAGTTTGTTCTGGTTTTAGGCAGGTTAACTGGTGTGCAGCTCCCGCGGAACCGCTGGCGCTGGCTCCTGAAGCAGCACAGCTAGATGAGGTGTCCAGGTCAAGCAAACAATGCTTGTTAAAACGGAGCTTGGTGAAGAAGAGAGACACAGGATAATGGTGCTCATTCATGCTAACCTGCCGCCTCCTTTACACAGCATTTCTGAGCTGGCATGCTAACGATTCAGGGAAGACTAGGAAGCATTCCATGGGCTGAGGCAAAAGAATAGCTTAAAAACTGAACGGTGCTTCCCACAATGTGGAACAGCCGGGACGTAGGAGTCATTGATATTTCCCAGGCATGAGATCAGGAACAGGCTTCTCCCTGCGCATGCCCACCCTCTTCCCTCTTCATCACACGCTGCCTGGGGCTGCAGTGTGGGCAGGGTGCTGAGGAGGTGGGCAGAGCTGTTGGAGGGATGTGGTGGCTCCTCTAAACAATTCTTCGTCCACCAGCTGGGCTCTAGGTAGGCTCACCGAAGAAATGCAGTTTCTCCATGCCAGCAGCACTGGCCCAAGAGCTCTCTCAAAGCAGTCAGGGTAGGATTTGCACAGGAAGACACTTGTGAACTCAAGCTCAGCCCTGTGCCCTCACCTCCTGTTCTCCCCAGGCTGTCCATCTCGGCCCCCTGACATGGACCATGGAGAGGATGAATGTAAATTTGCATCCTTGGGCCTGGCAGGGGTGGGTCTTGCTGGTGGTCAAGTAATTCAGCCCCTGGCGTGCACCTTGATTTAGGAGTGTAGTGTTAAAAGAAAAAAATATCTTGTCCATCAAGGTTGGTCCTCCAACAACACACCCAGGACCCGAGGTGGTTTTCTGCACAGTACCAGCAGTTCGGGTGAAGAAGCAAGTTGGAAGGTGATATTCAAGTCCAGGAAGGGGGTTCTGCACCAAGCACGGATGGGAACGGTCCCTCCCGGGAGGAAGAGCTCCAGAACTGGACACAGGACTCCAGGAGAGGCCTCGGCAGGGCAGAGCAGAGGGGCTGCCTGCGCGCAGCAAGCGGAGCACTGCTGGCCTCTGCTGGCAAGCAAAGCCTCTCCGAGTTTGCCTTTTTGAAATCTTATTCTCCTGCCTGACCCCCTTCTGGAGGCAGCAACTTAAGGGGTGGAAATGCTTTGTGGTGGGGACCAGTCCTGTTCTTACCTGCAGAGCCCATCTACCCACGGGTGATACCTTCATATGCGCCTTTCAGTGACTCCACAGGTCGCTCTTCCCGCAGCCTGTCTAGTGGGTTTGTGTTATGCCAAGAGTATTTATTCCAAGTTGCATTTTTAAATATTTTGAAAGGACTTGGGCTTTGATTTGCAGTGCTGTAGTAACGCCTCACCCTGTGCACAATCCCAGCGGTT